ATGATCTTTGAGTAAAATTGAAGGTTGAAATTTGGTAGATAGTTTTAGATCTGCCTTTAAATAGTCCAATTTTAGAGTTATCTTCAATTCTGGAAATCTAATATTCTTGATTGACAGTATTTGAGATGGTGAGATTTTCTCATTTGAACTTTTTCTTTTTCTGCAGGACATTTGAAATGATTTGAATTTCTGAGTTTTCTTAGAAATTCGATCATAAGATGAAGATATGGGAGACAAGAGATAGATAGAATAGAATAATTCTTTTTCTGAATTTCTCAATTGATTTTCAAGAGAGAGCTATCGGTCGATCGATGCCCTCTTTGCATTGATGAAGTCGTTTTATAGACTTCGGATTTGAAAGTAGATTTGAAAAACATAAACTAAGAGATAAGATCAAATTTAGCAGGACAACACCCGTGCGAGATCCGTTTCTCTAAAAGTAAGAAAAGACCTAAGGAAAACTAATAATTTAAAAGACTAATAATTTACAAAGACAAAAACTGATAATTCACATGCGAGACTTCGGTGTGTGGCTGAAGTCGTCAACAAAGCCTATCCATCGAGATTTTTCTATATCCCGGAAGATCTTCATAAGACCAGAAGGTTTTATGAATTCATTTTGGTTGACACCAAGTCTGTCGAAATTACTCATATTCCGAGTCGCGATGATTCTTCAAAAATCGCGTACTCAAAATTAAAAATTTTCAAAGTAATGAATCCAACGTACTGGAATCAAGATCTACGGAGAAGACTTTTTCAAAACCTTTTGTTCCTCACTCTTTATTATACAGAGATTATCGGATGACATGGTTCAATATCATTTGGTATCAAAGTTATTAGCACTCATGGTTCATTCAATTCTGCCAGAATGCTCACAAAATTCATTATCCATTTTGGTTTATCAAATGGTGGGATAAATACACTTATACCCGCGCGGATCTCAAAGTTGTAAAGGTCTGGTTATCTGAGAATGGCCACCTTCAAGATTTATCCAAGAAGAAGACCACCAAGTTTCTTAATTCAAAGTCTAGGCTGCTTATTGCATTTTCCGAGACAACTTCAGAAGATGATTTTCAAAAGCTTCTTCAAGAGGACGCATAGGTCGGTTTAACATCTTCTCCTTCTATAGTAGAAGAAGAAGATACAATTTACGATCCCAATGATTCATTTTTGGATTCTCAACCACCTTGTTAAAAATTCATCATTTGCAAAAGACGGAATAGTCGTTAAACTACTTGTAAACAAAATATGTCTTATGACATATTCCTTACCTTTCCTTTTTTGTCTTTCTAAATTATTTGCTTTTTTCTTCCTTCATCAATACAATGGATGAATATTGTACAGTATTCTCTTTTCAGGCTAGTATTTCTTTTCTTTATAGGTTGTCATTTATTTTCTTACTATTTCAATGTACTATTTTCACGTGGACAAGCGCACACCTTGTCTACTTGATATAAATTAAGTATTTTCTATGTAAATTAAGCTAGGATGACATACCTGATGTAAATTTATGGCTAAATCAAGATGTACCATCTAAATTTAGTGAGTTTCCAATTTTTGATGATGGGAGAGAGTTTATTTGAGGGAATTCACATAGATGGACAATGGGCTTTTCCATTTTTTTATTCTTTCCCTTTTTTTTTTCTTTTTTTTTTTTTTGTTGGTATTTTGTTTAAGTTTTCTCTAACTTTACGTGTTTTTTTTTCTTTTTTTTTTAACATTAAATATAAAATGTTATCCTTAAAAACTATCAAAAACATGATTTCTTGCGTGGCATTGGTGATTGACAGTAGAAGTTGCACAAATGTGGTAAGTAGTTTCGTGGTAAAAAACTTCAAGAGGGATGACCCTCATAACTTTAATGATATTGCAGACGATCCGACAGTGGCACAGTTACGATTAACCTCAATTGAGACAGTAATCGTGATAAAAAAAAAATTGCCTAGATGATCAAAAAGTATAATAAGAATCACTCATATAATACCCAAAGGATCTAAGCAAAGGAATCAGGGGATTTAAAGCAAAGACAAGCGTCTTAAGTAAGTCATTTCTAAAAGAGGATAGTCAACTCTTCAATCTTGAACTTACTTCCATAGTCAAACAAATAGTGGGCAAAAAATCTTGAACTTGACTTCCATAGTCAAACCAAGAGGAGGCCAAAATCATCTCCAAATTTTTTCATGTGGTGTATATGAAGTGGGGGTTTGACTTGACCTGTTTGGGTTTTGATAGATTACTTAAGAATTATTTTTGGGTGAAATTTAAGTAGATTGAGTAAAAAATAAAAGTATTTAAGTGAGATTAATTTTTCTAATTATGAAATTTGTTAGAAATGAGTAAAAGATGATAATTAATAAAATAAATAATTTCGAGATTAAATAGGAAAGAGTTACAAAATATAACACCTTAGTTTTATAGTGGTTCAGTCAAACTCGACCTACTCCACCCTACAAGCGCCTCTTGATAATTTGAATAAACCTTTCTAGACTCTTTTCTCGGATTAGAGACCAACCACTACACCGCTCGTTTTATGAGTTCAAGAGTAAACTCAATCCTTTCCACAGCTTAGGATCAAACAGGTACAAGTATATAAATTTTGTAGGAACACACAAATGAATAAAAGAGTAATTTATAATTGTGATCACTCACAACTATTTCCTCACAATACAATAAAAATCTCCCCCAATAATAATGTAATAGTAAAAAATAATAATAATAATAAATAAACAAATAAAATAATTTAAAAAAACTTTTACCCACTTCTCTCCACTAACCTCTCGTCTCTCCCCCATTTATCTCTCCTCAACCAACAACTAACAAAAGATCCCTACAAAAAGATAATAGAAAAAAACAAAATAGTCTTCATATGTAGAGGAGGTAGATTAGAGTGAAGAGAGATGTGGTAAGTTATCTATTAAATCATTCCTTTTCTTTTATCCTAATTTTATTTTTAAGAAATCACTACAAATTATATCTTAGATCTCTCTAAATTGTTACAAATATTTAGCTTATTTCAATAATTTTATACTAATTCGAGTAAATCAAGAGCAAAATGAAGAGATTAAATTAAAAACCAAGAACATGGGTAAACATAATTAAATTTTAACTCAAAAAATAGAAAGAGAAAGGAAATGTGTTAACAGAAACAATGTTGTTAACAAAATATATAATAAAAAAAAGAAATAAAAGAAGAAAAAAAAGAAAGAAAAAAGAAATATTGTGATGAAATTTAATAAGGTAGATAGTAAACAAATTAAAATTAATAAGGAGGAAATGAAAGATTTGGTGCACATTAAAAGATAAAACAAAATAAGTATCATGCTAAGAAACTCTATCAAATTCTTTCCAATAACAATACTTTCTCTAAAAAAAAAAAAAAGTAATAATAGAAAATAAGATATTGAATGAAAATAGAATTTTATATATATAACCTTCCAAAATTCTATGGTCTCAAATGCTCACATGGATCATTGTAAAATTTAGAGAATTGATTGAAATTGATGTCATGGTTGTCATGGTTCATATAGGTTGACTTGAATACAAAGAAAAAAATTGAACTTTCTTAAGGATAGATTGGGGAAACCAGCCTAAGATAATTATGTATGTGACCTTACTATCAACAAGGTTATATATGATGTTGACATGTGCCCCGTGGTTCTACACGTGACATATATATTGATACGTGTGAATTGTTTGTGGATCAAGTCTGCTCTGGTAGCTCCTTATGTCGGACACCCATTAGAATTAGTAATTGTCACGGTAGCATTATGTAAAACATAATGATACTTCATCTGCATAGTGATGTACGCATCCGTACCCTCGAGATGGAATAGGGGTATCCCCCACATGAGCACACATAATACATGAGATCCCAATATTTTTTCGTTTTCAACATTATTAAATATAACCCCACTATCATTTTTCATTCATATCATACCACTTCTCATTTTTCATTTCTCATATCATACATAATTCTAACAGGGTTATATTTCATGTCATTTATCGTGATTTCATATCATTCATATCATGTTGTATACACACAATTTGGCTTGGGAGAGATTTAAGGAGACGCTTAGAAAGTGTCCTCACCATGACTACTATCTCATTGTATACAAATGGAGACTTTCTACAATGGATTAAATCCTGCTACTAAACAAGTAGTTGATGCTTCCGCCAATGGAGCTATTTTGTCAAAGACATACAATGAAGCATATGAGATTTTAAAGAGAATAGCATCTAACAATTGTCAATGGGTCAATGTGAGAAGCAATCCAGGAAAGAAGACTCGAGGAGAACTTGAAGTTGATGTTTTTTCTTCTATCAACGCTCAACTAGCTTTGGTGACTAATATTTTACAAAATCTAGCGTTGGGACAAGACTCCATGATCAAAGCACCAGTCCATAAGCTATTGTAATTAACCAGATAGCAGCTGAATCTTGTGTATATTGTGGAGAGTAACACACATTTGATCAATGTCCAAGCAATCCAACCTCAATTTTCTATGTCGGGAATCAAGCTAGTCAAGGCAACCCAAAAAATAATCCCTTCTCAAATACTTATAATCCGGGGTGGAAAAATCATCCAAACTTCTCATGAAAGGGACAAGGATCATACAACCAACAAATGCCACCTAAAGCAAATTGCCCTCCGGCTTTTGGATTACTAAATCAATTGGCTTATAGTTTTCAACAAGTCAACACCCAAGGGAAAGGATAGTCAAGCTCAATACACATGGGGAACATCTATTTAGAGCCTAATAAAGGAATATATGGCTAAAAATGATGTCGTGATACAAAGTCAACAAGCCTCATTGCGAAATTTGGAAGTTCAAGTAGGAAATTGGAAGTTCAAGTAGGTAAATTAACAAGTGAGTTACGAAAAAGACCTCTTGGGAAGCTGCCAACAGACACCGAAACACCAAAAAGAGAAGACAAAGAGCAATGTCAAGCAATAGAGTTGAGAAGTGGAAAAAAAAAAATACCCAACATGTGAGAAAAAAATGCAGAACAAGGTGACAGTCATTCCCATACACAACAGAGAAATGAGGAAGCTGTTGTACAGAAAGAACACAGCAAGGATTATGCAGAAATTGAGGAGAAGCCTAAAATGCAAACAACAACAAGCAATGGAAAAGAGAGCAGAACATACACACACAAAGAAGAGAAAGAAAGAGGAAGTCCATTTTGAGAAATTTATGGATATTCGTAAGAAAATTCATATAAACATACCACTAGTGGAAGCTTTGAAGCAAATGCCAAATTATGTGAAATTCTGGAATGATGTACTCCCTAATAGAAGGAAGTTCCAAGAATTTAAGGTGGTGTCACTAGATGAAGAGTGTAGTGCAATATTGAAGAACAATATCCCACTAGAAGAGAAAGACTCTAGGTACACTATTCCCGTATCAATTAGAGGAAAGGAGCTAGGAAGAGCATTATATGACTTGGAAGCAAGCATCAACTTAATGCCTCTATCCATTTACAAGAAGTTGGGGATTAGAGAGGCTAGACCGACTACAGTCACCTTACAACTAGTCGATAGGTCCATCATTCATTTCGAAGGAAAGATTGAGGACATCTTAATTCAAGTTGACAAATTCATATTTCCTGTAGATTTTATCATTTTAGATTATGAAGTCGATCATGATGTACCAATTATTTTGGGGAGGCAATTTTTAAAGATCGGAAGAACATTAGTAGATGTCTACAAAGGAAGCATCACGTAAAGAATGGGCGACCAAAAAGTTGAATTTAATATTAATGACAGCACGAAATATCCAGCAGTGATAGAAGAATGCTCAGCAGTATATGAATTGATAAAACAACCAGCGACCGAGGAATGGGATGATGGGGAAAGCAAGCAGGAAGAAGACAGCAGCTAGAATGACATAATAGAACAGTTAGCAGTTTTAGGTGAATTCAGCATAACTTTTGAGTCACTAGAATGTGATGGAAGAAAGAGTTCACCGATGAGACCATCTATTGAGGAAGTGCTGCAGTTGGACTTGAAACCAGTACCTCCTAACCTTAAATTTTCTTATTTAGGTGACAAGAAGACACTACCCATCATCATCTCAGTGACACTATCTTCGGCTCAAGAGGATATGCTCCTAGAAATATTGAAGAAGCACAAGGGGGCGATAGGTTGGACATTGGCGGATATAAAAGGAACTAGCCCTTCACTATGCATGCACAAGATACAATTGGAGGAAGGAAAAGTTAAATCCATTGAGCAACAAAGACGATTAAATCCCATGATAAAGGAGGTCATTAGAAAGGAGATTCTCAAATGGCTAGATGCTGGAATAATTTATCCAATTGCAGACAACAGTTGGGTTAGCTCTATTCAATGTTATGGAAGAAATGAGGGATAACAGTAATGGCAAATGAGAACAATGAGTTGATCCCCACTAGAATAGTGAATGAATGGAGAATTTGCAAGAATTACATAAGGCTAAACAGAACGACATGTAAGGATCATTTTCCCTTACCATTCATTGATCAAATGCTTGATAAGCTTGCTGGAAAGTTACATTACTGCTTCTTGGATGGTTATTCGGGATACAATCAAATTAAAATCAGTCCAGAAGATCAAGAGGAAACTACATTTACATGCCCATATGGAATTTTTGCCTTTAGAGGAATGAACTATGTCAAATGCTCCAGCATCATTTCACGTTGCATGATGGCCATTTTTAGAGATATGGTAGAAACATTTATGGAGATATTTATGGATGACTTTTTGATTTATGGAGAATCTTTTGAGACTTGTTTGTGCAATTTGGGGGAGGTTCTACAAAGATGTGAAGAGAAAATCTTGTACTGAATTGGAAAAAACGTCATTTCTGTTTAAATTGAAATCGGTCTGATACCAATTTGTTGAAATTGAAATCACTCTAATACCAATTTGTTGAAAAATAAAGTTGCTCCAATACCAACCACGAGCTCGCTTTGAATCTAACTCGTTTAAATAACACTCACGAAACTTTAAAGGGGTGTCGAAATGGGAGAGAGACAAGGAGACAAAGAAGTTCTAAAAAGGTTATTACATAGTAACTTAGACAATAAATTTCTTTATGCTTTTCTTCTCTCTCTACATACTTTATAATGATACATAGAGCCCCTCCTATAGTTTTTTTTTCTGAGCTAAGTTTAGTAGCCCTCACTTTTCTCTCTCTCATGAGCTCTTCTCCTTTTCAAATTTCATGTCCTCATCTTCTTTCCCCCATAAGCCCTTTTCCATCTCAGTTTCATGATGGTTTTTTTTTACCAAATAACAAACAAAAAAAATAATCATTTTTTCTTCTTTCTCATGCATTGATGTAATAGCCAAAAAAAAAAAATAATAATAATAATAATAAAAATAAATAAACAAATAAAAATAATTATAAAATTTACCCACCTCCCTCCACCAACCTATCGTCACAAGCGCATCCTTTTCCTCAACCCCACCATATCACAGTTCATCAAAAAATAAACACAAAAAAATGTCAAATTTGGGAAAAAGTAAAATGGTGTTTCAACAAGGATATGATGCAGATTTACATGAAGAGATTTTGGTCGTTATTACTGTTAAATTTCCTATCTCACATTTCCTTTTTCATTTATAGTTATCTTTATAAGAAATCAATTTAGGATCAAATCTTCAGATCCCATATTCAATTAATTAGATTTTTTTGTTAGATAGGAAATAAGGTTAGAATCAATAATTTTTTTTGGCAGATCCAAGATAATAGCCAAACAATATATTAAAATTGGCCAACAATATCTGTTTACAGAATGAAAAAAAAATATAGAATTAGAGAAATATCTTATTTACAGAATTAAAAATCTATTTACAGAAGGAAAATAATTACAAAGAGGGAGAAATGGAAGATTTGTTGAATAGAATTTAAAAATAAACAGTAAATATAAGAGAGGTCATCAAACTCCATTAAATTTTGTTTAACAGGAAATATCAAAATTTTAACATGTAAATTAGACAAATAATTTTATAGAGTTCAAACTTGAAACTAATGTCATGGGCTCACATAGGTTGACTTGGATTTCAAAGGATGGAATCGAACTTTCATTAAGGATATATACGTGACAACGACTTAAGCTAACTAGGTAAGTGCCTCACCTGTCGTAGGTTACGCGTTAATTGTTGTATGTTGGCACGTGCCCGTGGATTTGCACATGTCATTGATTTGTATGCCAGTTTAATGTGCTTAAGTACAAACTCATGTGAACGTGAATGTATGCTATGCATACTGCTTTGTTTGATGTGATATGATATGCATGTGACGATATGTGGTTCCTTAATGATTATGGCATGATTGTACGGAATATTTGATTGTAAATAGCATGAATTGTATGACATGAAATACGGTAACACGTACATCCAATGGCAGGACAATGATCGTTATGCTTTTGCATAGCTCTGCCGTGACGATTACTAGTTTTAACGGGTCCCGGCATAAGGGGCTCCTAGAGTATGCCCACCGGATAAGAAAAGTGGCCCAGCGGTGTGCGAACTAGCTGGTGAGCCCATACTCGCACATATGAGCTGTGTATAGAGTATATGGTACACGTCCACGATTACCCGATAGGGTTCAAGCCTCGTGCTACTTTACTTTTTCAGATAAGGGTAAGGCACCCATGTGACATCGACGGCGACATCGTATACCCCGAGACTATGGCACATGCATAGGGTAATTGTTTTTATATTTCATAGTCTAGGTTGAATTCAGTTTGCACCATTAGTATAGGTTGATTTATATTTGCATAATAAACCAATAAACCATAGGGTAGAATAAAACATTCATTTCGGTTTTATTCTGATAAGAATCATGGTGTTCCTGAAGTTGGAAAACATTAAAAATGTCTACCAATAGGGTTTGAACCTACACATCTAAAGCCTAATAGATTTTAAATATATTTCTTTAGCCACTCAAACATATCAACATTTGTTAAAATTATTTATTGTTTTTTTGTTTTCATTTTGCAATGGTCAATTGGTCAAAATTGACTTCGTCATTTGTGGAGATTAAAGGGGATCGAGATTGAATCCCTGCCACAAATGTCTTTTGTCAGAAGACTATAATTACCCACAATATGTTATGTAAAAATCAGATTCGTTGATGAATGTAATTCAGATCTCAAATTGAGACGTTTCCCTTAGAAATCCGAGCATCATATTTGACATTTCTAAGTTTCAAGCAATTCTTGTGGTAGAATTGCACCCGAGCCATTCAATCAAGCCTTGATCAAGTTAGATTGTGGAGTGACTCAATTTAGAACAAGGTTCCAAATTTTGCTTCTAGATCTTCGATCGTAAGAGATAATCTAATTCTAACCTTATCTCTTGGTTGATCCAAATTTCGCATAAGGAGATGTTAATTACTTTGATTCAAGGGTTCTTGCTAAAATAAAAGCTTGGATCGTTGAGCTGAGGATTAGGGTTCCTTATCATGTTCCTTTTCCTTTATCCCAATAATGTTTAATGTTCTTTTCCTTTATCCCAATAATGTTTAATGTTCTTTTCCTTTCTTTCCCTTGTAATTCTCTTTCACGAAGTAATAAAAGGCGAGTGTAATTCGCATTTATGAACAGAGCCCGTTTATTGTATATTCCGCATTTCAAGATATAGTAATGACCTTAGATTAAATATGTGAAATTTAGGGTCGTTACAATTTAAGTTTATTTCTCAACAAATAGGTGAGATATAATAATTTGAATAATTAATTTCAAATTAAAGTAATATTAAATGATTAATTAAACTATTTAATTAATATTTAATATTAATTCAAATGCCAATCAATTCCGACACATATTTGATTAAAATATTTAAATCTTATTTAAATATCTCAGATTCTCTCTTTTTGTTTAATTTGTAAATAAAACAAAAATGTGGTTAAATATATCGTACATATATAGCGCATTTTTCCTAATTTGAATTCGAACACTTCGAACTCACTCGTCACACTGTTCTATGGTTTAGTCCGATATGAGCTAGCAGAGGTACCTAATGGACCTATAGATCATGGGCTTCAACGATCCAAGATTAACCAGTTAAACTTATTAACCTTGTTAACCAACATTCGTTAACTACTAGAACACTCCACTATAGCCTAGTAGTTGCACTCCCCTCACTATAGATATATTTATGTTCATTTGATATAACCATGATTAGTAAGTCGATCCTTCACATGTTGTTCGTAACTAGAGCTGGGTCAATTTACTGTTTTACCCCTAAAGTTACTTCTTGTTCCTTATGTCTCATTGATCCTTTAATTCAACAGTAAACCGAATCCTTCTCAAGCCAATGAGAGGGTGGGGCCCCTTGCTTAAGACCTGGAGTCAGTGCTTAAGGGAACTACCTCTCTTCTATCCCAAAAAGTGGGTAGAAGTGAATTTCATCTTGCACCCCACATCCGCAGCCATTCACCCAATCTTACCCCTGAAATGGGAGGCCTATTGAGTCGGCGAACTTGAGCCACTCTCACCCATGCAAATCTAAGGATAATTCTGAATTAAAATCGAGTTACCTAGGTCATCGAATGAAAAGAAAATTAATCTCAACAGTAAACGACATTATAACGTGAGAGTGATTTTCTTCATGATCAGATCTTATGCAATACTCATTGCATAGGACGCCCCTACTCACATGTCTCATGTACAATTTAGTGATCACATTGTTTATGTCATATACAAAAGTGGGCCGCATCCATAGTGTCCCCAAGAT